AGCTGGGAGCGTGCCGGCGAGCACGCGCTGGGGGCTGCACCGCGCGTGACAGCGCCGCGAGACTGGCCATTTGGTGGGCAGGGCACGAGACCTGGTCGCCAGGCACTCGCGCGTGTGCCGTGCGGGGCTCGGGAGTTTCAGGGGCGCAGTTTTGCAGAATGAGTTGGGGAGGCTGGGTGGCGGAAAATGGGTGGATCCCCTCTAAATGGGTTGACCCTCGCCTAAATGGGCTGACCTCCCCGTCAATACGTCAGAGGGCGATTTTGTCCCCGAATTTGCCCACGTTGTCCTCGAAGCTGGAGAGGCTGAATATCCTTTCCCAAATAAGTCACAACCTACGCGCCCGCTGATGAGTTTCTGTCATGAGTTATGCCAAGTGTCCTACTGCACTGCGCAAATCAGGAAGTCCGACCAATAGAACGAATAGGAGCTAAAAACTCGACTTGGTGTTCATTCTCTCTTTACGTCTCCTTTTAATACAAGAGACACCGCGGAAGCTATTTAAGGCTGAGTTAGTCATAAGAAATTACGACTTCATGCAAGTGACACGCCGAAGATAGAACAGCCCATTATATCCACGTTGCACTGAGCGACTTCATGAATTTTTCTGGGAGCAGCGAGCCAGTGTGACGCGTCCGGCAGCTCGGACCCCGGGTCAGGCCGACGCCACGTCTTCGATGCCTACCCCAGGGGAATCTGGGACACGTCACGTTCCGCTCAGACAGATAAGCCCCACGCAATCTCGCCATCAAGAGCATCGGACGAGCTGATCTGGTGGGGAGACTGGGAGGCGACAGGTCTTGCCGCTCACCGGGGAACGGCACGCCCTGATAGAGTTTCCAGTCCGCACCGAGCACAGACGCTCGCAACACGGCCGGTGCAGCGCACCACCGGCGCAGTGGTGCACCGCCGGCGCAGTGGTGCACTGCATACCGCCGCCAGGCCCCAGTGTCCCAGCACCCCATCATGCCGCCGCGCCACGACCTCATCACCGCCACACCACGCTGTATCAATGCCACTCGACCTCGTCTTCCCAACGCTCCACCATCTCACCTCATCACCGCTACACCACACTGTGTCACTACCCCAGACCGCACCTTCCCAGCGCTCCACCATCCAACCTCATCACCGCTACACCACACTGTATCACCACCCCAGACCGCACCTTCCCAAGCGCTCCACCATCCCACCCATCACCGATACACCACACTGTATCACTACCCCAGGACCGCACCTTCCCAGCGCTCCACCATCCCACCTCATCACCAATACACCACACTGTATCACCACCCCAGACCGCACCTTCTCAGCGCTCCACCATCCCACCTCATCATTGCTACACCACACGTTTCATCCCCCCAGACCGCACCTTCCCAGCGCTCCACCATCCCACCTCAATCACCAATACACCACACTGTATCACCACCCCAGACCGCACCTTCTCAGCGCTCCACCATCCACCTCATCATTGCTACACCACACTGTTTCATCCCCCCAGGCCGCACCTTCCCAGCGCTCCACCATCCCACCTCATCACCAATACACCACACTGTACCATCACTCCAGACCGCACCTTCCCAGCGCTCCACCATCCCACCTCATCACCGCTACACCACACTGTATCGCCACCCCAGACCGCAACATTCCCAGCACCGCACCATCCCAGCGCACACCACCACACCGCGCCGCACCACCGGGGGCCCTGGGGCGGCGCCGACTTACGTCCAGGGAGCGGCCCCCAGCTGCGCGACGGCAGCAGCGACGGAAGCGTGACCGAGATAGCACGCCCACCAGCAGGCCCACCGTCATGTCCGACTGGTGGTTGAAGTAGACGAAGCGCTTCTGGCGACCGGCGCTGGCCGGCGCGGCCAGCAGCGCCGCGACCAGCAGCGCTGGCAGGCAGGCAGTCCGCAGGAACATGGTGCGACAGGGCCTGGTGGCAGAGGGCGGGCGCCGATGGTCAGGCGCTCACGCTGGAAACAGACGTCATGTTGAGAAGAATGTGGTTTCAGCTTCCACGTGTGCGTGGTGTGACAGGATCGGACAACACGAAGTGAGATAAGTGCTCACTCGTACTTTGTTTTTTTTTACGATTGTGACATAACTGAATCAAACGCAATGGGCTGAATGTTTGATGACTATTCTGTTTTACATCAGGTTGCGGAGCCAGATGATTACTTGTTGTGCCACGCTGGTCTTTAAGTCCAGGCATCAGTGTGGCTTATGCGGGCGTGCCCTCAGCATAACGTCCGGATGGACCCTCGGCCGGATGCGAACCCGAGACCTTCCGCGTCGAGGACGCCGCGGCCGCGCGGCCCACTCCGATATGTGTCACGTCTCGACCGAGCCGTTTCGCAGGCCTGGGGTGCAGATGGGACGGCCGATGGGGCGGCAGATCGACGGGAGCGCCCGCCCCGCCCCGCCCCGCCGCGTAACGGTGCCGGCCGGCCGCCGTCGCTGTTGTTTTGTTCGGGAGGACGCGCTGGGAGCGAGACCGGTGTTCGGCCGGGCCAGGCGCGGCCTGCCTGCCCTATATGGCGGCGGAGACGCTCGGGATTCTCCGGCCGTGCCTCGTCATTGATCCGGGCCACGGGCGCAGCTCGCACGAGCCCTGCGTTTGACAGCCGTCTGCGCCGCCGGCCTGGCCCGCGCTTACAGCGGCATCGGACAGCTCTGTGCGTGACGCGGTGCCGCCGTCTCTCCCGATGTGGAAGGACGGATTGCCGGTTTGGATGCAGTCGACGTCGGAAGAGTCGGTCCGGTTGGTGAAGCGGCGTGGAATGTCACGCGCCGTTTGTGATTGAGAACAAAACAGCTTAACTGGAACAATATATGTTGTCTACATTTGGGGTGACGGCCTTGTATACCGCGCTAGACACAGCTGGTGGACTCTATGTTTCGGTCACCTCATTGACTTATGCTCTGTAACTAGGACATCGTGCACGATAATGTTTATTCCTAATGATTTCGATGTGTGAGCTACAACTGATGCAGCCCAGTGGAGGTTCGGAGAGGGCTTCTCGTCACCTTTGCTCGGGGTAGCGGGACATGTTTGCATTATTCAAACTCTGAGCTGCCCCTGTTGCACTCGCTGCCCAGATATATAAGCTAATAGCTGCAAAGGCCTACTGTAAGTAGGACAGTAGGACCGGTGCCTTAGAAATGCCCTGACAACAAGCTGACCTGAATATGTCTTCAGCAGTGGAGACGTACGGCAAGTCTAAGGCAGTCAACAGCGTAACGAGTTAACAACACATTTAGCTGACAAGATTGCTCTCCGTAATTTGGGCCGGGTCGAGCTAAGTGGGTTATCGCGCCCCTCAGAGCCATATGGTCCAAATTGTTTGGCGGAGCCGCTGCAAGACGACGGATGGGACGGTAATTCGGAGGGCGT